ACTGTTGTGCCAGTAGGTACATCTTGCCAGGGAGGTTGGTACTGTAGCATATAATGTTTGCAGCTGGGCAATATTCTTTCAGCAGCCAAAATAGCAGCTTCCAATGCTAAAAAAGGTAGTCAGCGACAAGGGAGACTCCCTGGTTGGAACTTTTCATTAGCTCGGTTAAGACACAATGGGAAGTCATCCCTTTGTTGCTGAGGACAAGATGCATTCAAAACAAATTGGTAGTCTCCCTATGACCATGCTGTAAGGTTACTTCAGCTCTTATGTTTTGTCAAGGACAATTTTAGATTCTTCTTTCCAAAGATTTGATTACTGAACTCTTTAATATCTTGGACTGGTAAAGAACAAATGTCTTTATGGTGTTTAGAATAACTGTAATTAAAAACATACTTGACTATTTTATTAATAAGTTATGCACTAACTATAACAAAACATAAACGTGGTTATGTACTTTCTTTTCTCTAACTCAGTACTGGACAGAGATTTCATCTTGTTACAGGTCATCTCAGACCTCTACACTCTCTCCTGTGGAACTGTTGTGTCTCATAACTTAAGTTACAGTCTGTATATTGGTGATTTTCAGATCTCTATCTCCAGGCCAGAGATAATCTTCTCAAGATATAAACTACAAATTCAATTACTTGTGGGGAGTTTTCACTTGAGTGCATGACATAGAAGTCATTCAAATGTCAAGAGACTGGCAATGTGTACCTTTACTGGATTCTATAAGTTATCTGCTTAGAATTAACCCTTCTGTACAAGCCTCTCCTCCCAAAGAAAACCAAATTTAGTTCATGTGACCAGTTTTCCCACTCAGTTAGGCTTGATCCCGATTTCAGCCCCAAATTCGGTCTGTTTGGGCCAAGAGTAATCTGCCCTCACCCAAGAGCCCACTGCAGCACTGGGTAGCCTGACCAACTCAACAACCACCCAGGCCCAGATCTATTGCATCAAGTAGGTCAACCCCAACACCTACTCCATCTACAAGCTGCTGGAGCATGAGGAGGAAGAAGGAAGAAGCCAGTGCTACAGAACCAGGTCTTGGAGCACACCATCACCATCAAAGATGAAAACCCCAAAGCATAGCAATGATGGAAGAAGTCTCAGTGATGGTCCAGTATTTACGGTGCTTTAGACCCCAGAGGTCTTGAACCAGACCAATGACTCATAGTAATCAGTATTTGCATGTAGAGCTGTGTGAACAATGCATGCACCTGTGCACACACACACACACACACACACACACACACACACACACACACACACACAGAGTGACACACTGTAGTTTCCAGATAGGAATAACTTAAACCTGTTTCTGACTTTAAAAGGAAATAGTTCAGAGCAAGTTAGCAAGCCTTTTTGATTTGGCATCTCCCAACCACAAAGGTAAACACAATTATGCATTTTGTAGGTATTCTTTTAAATGTCTTTTAAATCTACTTATACTTCATCTGCTAGCTGAATATTGAAGACTGAGTGGAAAATTTCATGGTTGTAGGATACGACCGGACACTTTGCACATGTATCCCATCAGGAGGAAAGGGTTATTTCCTATAGTCGGACTTTTTAGTTGGGACCGTTAGGTCCCCAGTAATGACACAGAGAGTTATTATTAATTATAAAAGCTTAGCTTTAGCTTAGTCTTGTTTCTAACTAGCTCTTATAGCTTAAATTAACCCATATATTTCAATCTATGTTCATATGATTGTTACCTCATCTCCATTTTGCCCATCCTGCTTCTTCTGCATCTCGCTGGCAACTCCCTTCTTCCCAGCATCCTCTCTGCTCCCTAAATCCTGCCTAGCTATTGGCCACTCAGCTTTTTATTACACCAATCATAAAGACACATCTTCACAGTATACAAAAAGATTATCGCACAACAATTTCCTCCTCTCTGGAAACCTGGGGTGGCTTATAAATGGCAAGCTACCAACACAGAACAGCAGAACTGATACCAGTTCACAAATTGGTAATGTAGCTGGGTCTTGCCCTGAGGGCATCAGTAGAACACACACACACACACACACACACACACACACACACACAGAGAGAGAGAGAGAGAGAGAGAGAGAGAGAGAGAGACAGAGAGACAGAGAGACAGAGAGACAGAGAGACAGAGAGAGACAGAGACACACTCAGAGAGATTTATTTCTGTTCTAGGAATCGTAACTTGTTTTTTTTGAAGCTGTTCAAGTTTTGTTGTAGATGAAATTGCAAGGTCTATAAAGTTCCCCAAGGAGAACAGGCTTAGATTGTTACTATCAAAAATGATTAATTCTGTGAGTTTGATTTGTAACTTAGGGACTTCCCTGTGTTAAAAATGGAATAAAAGCTAGGGAAACACATTTAGGCCTAAGATCTTTGGATTTCAACTAATTCTCACAGGTTAGATGGTTCTGTTTTCAAAATTCTGGAGAACTGGAGAAATGTCTGTGAACTGACTTGATTTAAACTCCAAACCTGTAGAGGCTCATGTTGCTCTCTGTCATTGAGTTGCAACTCCCAAATCTAGGGCTAGTGAGTGAGTGTGTGTGTGTGTGTGTGTCCCTGTTCATGTGTGTGCAAATGTATGTGTATACAGATATGTGTGGAAGTCACAGGTCAACATTAGTCACTCCCCATCTTGGTTTTTTTTTTTTTTTGGTACTTTTTGATTTTTTGTTTGTTTGTTTTGTTTTTGAGACAGGGTCTCTCATCAAAGCAGTAAGACTGGCTCCCCAGAACCAGCATTTATAGGTGCACACTGCCTCACTCAACTTTTCTTATCCTTCTTCTCATACTCAAGCTTCTTGTAAGCACATCATCGACTCAGCCATCACCCAGCCCCATCATTCATTTCTCCCCCCAGGAGGTAAAATGATTTTTCCACCTGTGTGACTTGGAGTCAGAGAGACATGAGATGAGGTCATTACACAATGGTGTTTTATTTTTATACCTTAAAAGAGCTAATATAAAACAAATTCATATTTCAAAGTTTTCTTTAATATCTGAACTGACATTAAATGGGGCCACCACCCATGTAGCAGTGGCAACATTATAACCTTATTTATTTCATTAGTCAAGACTAATTTAATTTCCTTTAGTAGGCCTGCTTGCTCCTTGTCACAGGCCCTCCTCTGTTCCACTGAGGTCCCCCCCCCAGTATCTTCTATTTATTCTCTGACAATTTCATACACATTTACAATGTATCTTAATCAGAACCACCCTCCTACTCCCCTGGGCACCCTCTCCTCCCACCTCGTGTCCTCCCCTTTTTTATAATAACCAGTCACTAAGTATAACTAGTGCTTCTTTCTAGAATATTGTCTTGATCTCTTGCAATTAACAGTTGCTGCAGTGAATTCATGGATGCGATGGCCAGGTGACAGCTTTTCTCCCCATCCTCCAATTCCTACATTCTTTCTACTGCCCTCTCCCATGATGTTCCCTGAGTCTTAGAATACGATCTGATATAGATGTACTATTTCAGGCTGAGCACTCAATAGCCACTTACTCGTGTAGAGGCATGAATTCCCTCCTGTGAAGCAGCAGGCCTCATATCTAACTCAAGAGCAGTTGGCTACACCTACAACTTACATAACGCTATGCAACCAGTAGGCACATCTTTCAATGTTTGCCCTTGAATGATACCATCCATGCCTTTCCCAGCAGTGACCCCTGCGTGGGTCGAAACCCACAGGTTGAGAACCACTGCTCTGAGCTGCCCATAAGGAGAGAAACCTGACTAACTTGGCCACCATTGTTCCACATGGGCAGACGCAGGTATGATATGATGTCATATGCAGTTAAGTAGCCAGTAGAATGGTTGTATGCTCCCTATGTGCAAGTGCTATATCCCCTTATAAAAAGCAAGTGCCTTCTCTCCCCACCCTCTTTTCCTTTCCACCCTTGCTCAGAGGCAGCCTCTGCATTCCCCCCTCCTCCCCCAATAAAGCTCTCAAGTGAGATCTGTTGCATGGTGTGGTTTTTTTGTGGTGTTCCTTGGCTTCAATCTGCCAAGGTGCCTTCTGAGGCTAAAATCACTACACACTGACCTAGACTCACTTCCTAAAAGCTCCATATCTTACTTATGGTTCCTGTTGCTGCAATGAAATACCATAACCCAAAAACAAGCTGGGGAGGAAAGGGTTTATTTGATTTACACTTCCAAGTCACTCTTCATCACCAAAGGAAGTCAGAACAGGAACTCAAACAAGGCAGGAACCTGGAGGCAGGAGCTGATGCAGAGGCCATGGAGGGTGCTGCTTACTGGCTTGATCCCCCTGGCTTGCTCAGCCTGCTTTCTTATAGAACCCAAGACCACCAGACCAGGTGGTGCCACCACCCATAATGTCATGGGCCCTCCTTCATTGATCACTAAGAAAATACCTTGATCTTATTTCTTTATCTACTCTTTGGTTTTTCAAGACAGGGTTTCTCTGTGTAACTGACTATCCTCGAACTCACAGAGATCCGCCTGCCTCTGCCTCCTAAGTGCTGGGATTAAAGGTGTGCGCCACCAGCATTCAATTAAAATGCCTTCACCTTATGGAGGCAGTCTCTCAACTGAGGCTCCTAATTCTCTGAGGACTCCAGCTATGTCAAGTTGACACAGAACCAGCCAGTATGCTCCACATCCTGACTTCATCACTTTGGAGATCACAAATCAGGGTGTGGTTTTGGGATAATTCAAATATTTGGAGCATAGTAGACTTCATATTTTGAAGTTCTTTTTAAATGTTCATGAAAATAATAATTATATTTTGAGATGACAGATTACTTCATTTCATAAAAATCTTCACATAATAAAGGTCGTTTTGCTTCCTGTGTGGCAGTGATATGTGCCGTGCCCCCCCCCACATGTAATCAGGCACCATTCCCGTCCACCATGGGCTCGGCAGGTCCTTACCTCACCAGGGCAGAGCGGAGCCCAGTGTCATGCCCTTGAAACTCCAGAAGTATGAGCTAAGTAATGATTCTTTCTTTATAAGATTACCCAGTAATTTGAGTATTTTATTATAGTATAACAAACAGACTAATACAAGTAAAGCTGCTGGTACCCTAAGGAGAACACAGTGACCCAAAAGCTATCTCTGAAATTATCTCAAAGCTGGACCAAGGAGATTCACTTATAGTGAGAATTTTAACAGAAAGCATTTGCATCTAAGAGGGCTGCTACAACTTCTAAGATTTTCTGCAGCAAAGGGCAGCCTGCCCAGACTCCCTGCTGGTTCAGCTCCATGGACCAGTTAGTGTTAGACTGGTTCTCTTCTGTCTAGTCTGGGTAAGAATTAGAAGGCTCTCTTCTATCTAGTCTGGGTAAGAATTGGATTGTGACAAGTTCTTTTTTAGTGCCATCACATGTTTCCATTATGAAAGGGCTAGAGATGTCACTCAGTTGGTAGAATGCTTTCTAAAACAAAAACCTGGGTTTGGTCCCCAGTACTATGTAAACCATGCTTGGGACTTGATTGAATGTATAATTCAAATTAACATTTTGTAGAGAAGAGAATAAATGAGACCTACAATACCTGGATGACTATAAATCTTCATAATGATGGCTTTCCTTCCAGTCTCTCTCCACATATATACCATTTTGGTAAGTGACAAATTGTGTTTCTTTTCTCCATCCCTTTGCAGGCTTGGTCCTGTGTGTTTGTTGGTTGGTTTATTTACGTGAAGATTTTGTCCCAGGTGCTTCCTAAACGTTGTCATTCAAGGCTGCATGAATTCTTAATGCCCGACTGGCTCTTCGGCTACCCTGTCTTCCCAAGTTGGTTCTTCCCAAAGTCAGGTTTTCAGGTCCTTAGTCAGAAGAGGCAAAGTCAGGCGAAACCGGCTCATCAGAAAACAGTCAAATCTGATACAAAAATCTATTGCCCTCCCTTGCTCCACCCCCTAATGCGTTTCATTACCTCTCAAAGATCCATTTGGAATTATTCACCTCGCTGCCCTTAATTATCCACTCCACTGCCTTCATTATTAGCATGGAGGGTGGAACCAAGGCTGGCCTGTATTCTCTTCAGAGCCCCAGTCACTTCTGATTAGTGGATTGTTTAGAAAACGTCCTGAGCTCTAGCAGGCCGCTGCCAGTTAGTGTCCTCTCCCCAAGAAGCGCTCATTTGTATTCTGTCGCTGGGTCAGAGCGGAGGCCAAGGGTTAGCAGCGCGGGGGTTGGGCAGCGAGGGCCAACCAGCCTAATGGTGGCATCTGCCTTCTCCCATCTAGCCCCTCCCTCCTCCCTGTCCTCCCCTTTCTTCTCCTCTCACCCCCCTTCCTCCAGGTTCCCATTCAACAAGAGCAAACAAAGTAAAATAATATAAACATAAAACCGGAGAAGAGAGAAGAGGAGGCTCTGAAAACTGACAATAGCAACCTCCAGTCACTCCCCCCTTCCTCCATCTCCCAGGCCCTCCAGCTACTCAGAAAGGTCCCTAACAAAAGACCCCAAGTTGACCCCTGACCAGCTGAAGATAGATTCAAGGCAGGGGTTTGAATCTATTGAAGCTAAGCCTGGGCACAAACCAGCCACCTTTGGTTTACCAACCCTCAAAACACCGGGTGCATTCGTTTTCCTTTTTCTATATTTTGTTATTGATGATGATGACTTTTCTTTCTTTGTAAATCGCAGCCAAGCCAATTTGTATCTCAGCTGGATGCACAGGTATTCAAAGTAAGACGACCCCTAACTATTCTTCCAAGCTCTACCAGGGCTGTCGCCGCGCTATATTTAGAAAGGGCACACCTTGGTATACCCTATGCCGCTGGAAAGGAATTCCTGAGAGACAGTCTTGTTTTCTTAAATATCATCCTGCAAACTGTGTTGCTTTTTAGAGGGCTGGGCAATATTGTAATTCACTGCTTATAAATATGTCTATAAAATATCCATCCCAGTGCCGGGGCTTCTAACTCACCCGGAGGGACACATGGAGGCTTGTGTGTTCCCAAAGCAAACAGAGGTTCCTTGTCTGAAAGGAGCCAGCCAGGAAGTGCCTGCTGCTCTCCAGTAACTGTGGACACTCCTGCAGAAGCCAGGCTGTCTAGAGGTCAACAGGATGAAGCAACTAGTGCTGGGAGCTGCCACCCTCACTAGTAGGGGACAATAGGTCATCTAGCTGCAGGCCACTGCGGGGGCGGGGTTACTATTTCATCCCCCAAAGCTTCAGCAAAATTGTTTTAGGAGACTGAAAGACACACTGGTTTGTATAGCAAAATACTTGACCTCTGGGGAAAATGCTTCTTATCACTCGGACTACTAGGAATCATGGGAAAATTGCTCTGTGGTCTTTAGTAGAACAGCTGCCACAAATCCCACTGGAAAGACAGATTTTTCTCCCCTAAGTCTCATTTATATACTTATAGGTTTTTTATTTGCCTTTTAAGGCAAATATTTCTTGTGTCCCAACTGTGTTCTGGTATTGTGTTAAGCTAGCAGAGTAAAAATAGATGGTTCTCTCTCTCTCTCTCTCTCTCTCTCTCTCTCTCTCTGTCTCCCTCCACCTATCTATCTATCTATCTATCTATCTATCTATCTATCTATCTATCTATCTATCCCTATCCCTTTCTCATAAACACACACACACACACACACACACATACACACACACACACCTTTTTTTTTCTTTACCACCTCTACCAGGTCATTATCATTGAATTTAAAAATCCCAGAAAACAATGCATTTAATAAACTGGAGGAACCCTATAAAGGTGCTGTGGGGATTTGGAAGAACATGGCCCCCACAGACTCATAGAGAGTGGCACTATTAGGAGGTGTGGCCTTGTTGGAGTAGGTGTGGACTTGTTGGAGAAAATGTGTCACTGGGGGCAGGCTTTGAGGTTTCAGAAGCTCAATCCAGGCCCAGAGTGATTCTCTCTTCCTGCTGTCTGCTGATCCAGATGTAGAACTCTTAGCTACCTCTCTAGGACCACGTCTGCCTAATAAGTATAATTTTCCCATTTGTGATGCCAGCAATAGCTGTTTACAAAATATTTTAACCTCAGAGACAACCATGAAATTGTTTCATAGTTGAAATGTCCTTCCTCCCTGACAGAGAATGAGGAATGCAGCTCTCTGCCAGCCATATGAGTATGCTCAGCCAAAGAGAGCACCAAGTTTAAGGTCACTTGAACAGCCCATGCTCCCTCCCAGCCCTGCCCATACCCCCACCCCTACCCCCACTGGGATTGTGAGGTACCTGGGCACCTGGACACATTCTTCCAGTGTGATTATCTGTGACCTTTGCTGATTTAGCAAGGAACATGGCAAAGGAACAGGTCTGTCATTGGGAAAGAACACATGATAATGTGGTTCGCCAGGATGTTGGGGTTACTCCAGCCCAGATATCCTGACTGGATACTGCCTCCATGGCTGGTGGGAGTCCAGAGACTGTCAGGGGCTCCCCTCAGACATGCTCAAATGCAGGTCCTTCTGGAACCTTGGAGCTCTGAAGCAGTAATGAATCACTTGCATCTCTTGGTCATCAGGTTCAAGTCCTCTTAAGGTGTCCTTTGGCACTGTGGGACCTTGCTCCACCAACCAAAATATGATGTCTGTAGACATGCTTTTTCTTTCTTTCTTTCTTTCTTTCTTTCTTTCTTTCTTTCTTTCTTTCTTTCTTTCTTTCTTTCTTTCTTTCTTTCGAGACAGGGTTTCTCTGTGTAGCCCTGCCTGTCCAGAAACTCCATCTGTAGATCAGGCTTGTCTCAAGCTCAGAGATCTGCCTGCTTCTGTGCACTGGGGTTAAAGCCAAGCATCACCACTACCTGATGTTTTCATTTTTTTAAAATGTGGTTTATTAAGAAACACTTCTTTTTTTTTTGTTTTGTTTTTTTTGTTTTTTTTGTTTTGTTTTTCGAGACAGGGTTTCTCTGTATTGTTTTGGAGCCTGTCCTGGAGCTCACTCGGTAGACCAGGCTGGTCTCGAACTCACAGTGATCTGCCTGTCTCTGCCTTCCAAGTGCTGGGATTAAAGGCATGTGCCACCAACGCCCGGCTAGGAAACACTTCTTTATATAAATAAAGTGTCACCCAAGTGAAGCCCATTGTCTAACAAGCAAAACTAGGAGTCTTCACTAAGTGGCATTGTGAAGTTATATTGAATTTTACTGACATCTCTCAGCCCTCAAGTGTGCCATACATAAGCCGGATAGTAAAGAGAGTATATGGTAGGGTGGATGTGAAGATCTAGAAAGTTCTAAGTATTTGATACGTTCTTTGTGACTGGTTCAGTGGCTGATTATGTGATCACATGCCACCTTCCTTCTTGAGTTAATGACATGCAGTTCCAAAGCCATGCTGTTGGTTCATCCTGGCACAGTCCCTGTCTCTTCAGCCAGGACTGTCTTGTCAAAATGAGGTTTTAGTTATTGTGTTCACTGCTGAGCAAGGTAGTGAGCTGCTAAAGACACCACAGAAGAAAATATGTTATAGTTTTTAAAGGGCTGATAACAAAACTGTTTCCAAGAACAAGTAAACCTTCAACAAAAGAGTCTGTTCACACTTCAAAGAACAAAAAACAAGCAGGGTCTAAAATCCATTCCTGCCCAGAATCACAGTTTACAGCAGCAGATTCTCAGATGGACCCCAGAAGTGCTTCTGGTAAATAAAGGGCCTCCTCTGTCTCCACACACCCTTGTGGGGCTCCTTCCGAGTCATACTGGGGAGTGGGGAGTGTATACCCCAGTTCTGACCTTGTGGTAGTTAGAAGAGAATGATTGATTTCTTCACATGCAAGTCCTGGTAAGTCTGGGAAAAGTCTATGGAATCGCGGAGGGTCACTGCAGCCCTGAACACCTCAACTACCAGTGCCTGCCATTGCCAGCTGGTAAGGACTCCCTTTCCCTTCCTCAGCGGAACATGAACTCTGACCTCTGGTAGACCTTGACCATACAGATTCAGACCTAAAGCAGCTGAACCCAATTCGGACCCAACTATAATACAAGTGACCTGAGTACATGCATTCATTAAAATTTTTGACATTGTGCCTGGCGTGGTGACACACACCTCACACACCTTTAATCCCAGCACTCCAGAGGCAGAGGCAGGCAGATCTCTGGGAGTTTGAGGTCAGCTTGGTCTACCAAGTTCCAGGACAGACAGGGCTGATATGCAGAAAGATCCTGTCTCACACAGAGAGAGAGAGAGAGAGAGAAAGAGAGAGAGAGAGAGAGAGAGAGAGAGAGAGAGAGAGAGAGAGATTACTAAACTTATTAAAACTAAAATGCAATAATAAAATGTTTATGTAATAGCTTAGCATAATTGCATGATGACCATGTTCTGGTGTGTAAGACCCACAAACTGCAGATGATTATTTTTAGTGTGGAGCCAGTGTTAAAAGAAACTATCATGTAACCTATGGTATTCACATTTCATTGTCCACACATAATGTTTTACTGGCACAGTAAACCATGTCCACTCACTCATAGATTATGTGTCACCGCTTAGACCCCTCCATGGCGAAACAGGTCCGTAGATGCCACAGTGTGTGACCCCCAAGGCACGAAGTTTACTGGCCTCTACAATAAAGAAAGCAAATACTCAAATCTGCTCTTCCAAAGCAACATCTTTTTTTTCTCTATTTCATATCTATTGGCAGAGAAGTCAATGGTATCCTCTCATTTATGTGTTGGGAAAAAGACCTTCCTCCTAAAAGAATGCAGCCGAATCACTATAAAAATGAAGAGTAATGCAAGAGTAGAAAAAACCATTGCCAGGAAATGATCCCAAATATTCGGAGAAAGTATTTTACCGAGTGTCCTTATAATCTGGTATGGCTGTGGGGGGGGAGACAGGTGCATGTGTGTGC